GTGCCCCACGATAGAATGCTGCAACAGAAAGGCGCCAAGGCCCGAATCGGAGAGAAATGCGGTCTGGCAACATCATCGCCCAACTCCACCTCAAAATTCAGCTCGTGAGCCATGATTCTTGACCCCACACCAAAAGATTGAAAAGCGACATTCCGTCGAGGATGGACCTTAAGCTTTTTGTTTCTGCATGGCCCTGGACACCGATCCTCCAGTTACCTTCAGCAGCGTGTAGCTTAAGGAAGGGCGCCATGGATCCCAGAGACTTATTAGAATACTGCGACACGTCCTCTGCACAACGCAATGCAGTCCGTGGCATAGGAAAGACCACCTCCATGGCCAGCCCGCCCTCTTAACTCGAGCACCTATTTCTAGATTTCTGCTTTGGCCTTGGCCTTGGGCCAAAGATGGAGATCATTGATGCTCGAATTTATGAGATGAAATAGAAACTTGTCCTCCGACGAACTACAATTTCACTTTGTGCCAAACTCATCATTGGACTTACCGGAGACAAAAGGAGTTGAAGCTATGATTGAATAACTCAGGTGAATGTCTCATCACATCGACTTAAAAAATCACAGTTCAAAAAAACGCAGGAATAGATTACAATGAGGTTGATAATCATTCTCCAACATTTATACAAAGATCTACGAACAGATTGATTAGTCGATGAAATCATCGTTGATCTTTGTATAAATTTTAGAGAATGACTAACAACCTCTTTGTAATCTATTCCTGCATTTTTTGACACTAGATTTCCATGTCCATGATTATTTCGAAGGTTTCTTTGTGTACTTTATGATGAAGTTACGACGTGCAAAATCATGACATAAGATGACACGTATCACTCTTTACCAGTCAATAAATTCTAGGATGGAGGCTAGATCTTTTAAGTTTCGAGAAAAAAATGGGTTACATTGTAGTACATGTACTTACTTCAAACTTATGGTAGGAATAAAAGTCACCATATATACTTCGAATTTGATTTGACTGTAACAACATAAGATCTTGTATACAATGGTGTGCTTTACAATACTCAGCACTCGCCATTCTAAGGCACGGCAACATCTTCATCTCTTGTCTAAGATCAGTAGTTTTGAATTAACTTTTATGCAGATTATCCGGCATCCGCGCACTTATCTCTAATAAACCGTATTTCGGGTTGTGTAATCAAGGTGTAAAGAGACCTCGTTGACTTACAAAGTTGACTTTGGTAAGAATAAAGGGATGTTTGCGAAGCAACAGCAGACTTCCAACAAGAAGACCACTTTCAGAGCAGACTTTTTCGTGTTGTCAACTTCTGGACAAAGGTCTGCATTGGCTTACATTCGATCAGGTCACAGTACATGTAAACTAACAAACAGTTAACATATTGGGATAGAGTCGCATCCTGTGCAGCCAACCAGACAACGTTCTTCTTCCCAAACATTGTAACGTCCCGACCACGTAGCATTCAAACCGTTGCTTGGCCTTTCATATCTATATGTTCCTGTGCACATCGTGCACGCCTTTTTATTCATTATTTTATTTTATTTTTTATTTCTTTTCATCTTTGTAGTTGACCACGTCCACTCCGATGTCGACACCGACCCATCCAATTCTCGTTCAACATGTGCGAGAAATGGGGATAGAAAGACAAAATGCTCATTTCAGTCATCTACTTGGTGGTGGCTTTCTTCCCATCCTTTTTGCTATATCGTTGGTTTATCGTTCACATATCATTCACATGAGACCTCCTTTTCGATGAGGTTTTAATGCTGAAGTGATTATGGACCTGAGTACTGGACGTATGAATTAAAGTCGACCTTTGACTAAGATTTTCTTTTTACATCATTCGTCAGGAGGAAACCATATACAAGTCGAAGTTTCATCATAGCAGCGTGAAGGAGTCAGATAAGTTACGGTCTCGGTCTACCCAATATTAATCTTCAGTCACAACTGAGATATAAGATCTTCTTCTGACCCCGTAGGAAGTGATGAAAGCGTACGATGAAATCAATCCAAGTCTTGTAGGCCCCTTCAGATTTACGAAGGTTCTCAGTAAAGGCTCCGAATATGCGTTCGGATGTGGTGCGAAGGAAGCAAAGTTTGCAATATGTCCAAAGTGTCTATTCTCGAGTTGCACTTTGTCTGTTGAAATCGATGGAATCGGATGCAAGGCATGGAGGATATTGAAAAGGGGGCTATCTTTGTTTGAAAGGATCTGAATGAGGGAGATATTGTGACCGAAACATAGATTCCTCCATGCCAAAAGGAGGTGACAACTCTATCTCATGGATGGAATCTACAACACAGACTGGAACTTCGAACGCATGTATGAAAGTGAAGTATCAAGCCAACTCGATGACCGCCTTGCCATTTCTGGCATCAAAGTCGAGATAGATTCTCCTGTCCTTTCTCCTCCAATCCACCCGGTCCATTGCTTTTGCACGCCCTCCCTGGGATCCTTGGATGTGTGATCATCCCGACAACAACCATGTTGTTAAAAAACATATGCTGTATGTTGGTGAGGCAGTGAGTTAGTTACGTCAGCAGTGTATGTATATGCTCGACATTCATATGACCAGGTTACTTATCTTTCCGACATAGGTCAATAAGTTGAGACTTTGTCTTCTGAGTTGAAATGATCAAGTCAACATCTCCCTTTGCAAGTCCATGAACTAGGATCCATGGTCTTGCTAAATAACCGGATTTGACTGCAGTACGGGCAAGACGAATCTTCATGTAAGTAATCCCATACGTGGGTTCATAAACGTAAAGCATTGAACACGGTCTGTTGTGTGGTAGTACTCGCCAGGCTGATTATTCTTGCTGCTTATTAATAGGTACAACATAGAGGAGCTTCACTTTACCTTCAGCTTTCATTTGCAAGAAAGTTGTCTTGCATTTGGATCTGATGTTCTGAGCGTTCTAATGCCTGCACGTGGATGGTACGTGCTAAGCCGGTGGCTAACATGCAAATGACCGCGTTTAAGATGGTGGACATCCATGACTTACAGACTGATTGAACGTAACGTTGGACAGAGAGCTGAAGCCTGGGTCTTTCTGTGAATTTCAATGGAGAAACACTATTCCAGACTGCAATCGTGAACATGGATGACACATGTCCAAGCCGCACGGCTCATGATTTAGCTCATCCTCGGGTCCATTTTGATGCACAGTTAGACAAATGTTCAGCTCTGGAATCTGGAGGCGGAAATAGAAAATGAGTATATATAGATCTCTGCTGCTGCTGCTGGTGAATCTTTCAACATTATTTTCCCCAGAATCTACAGCTCCGGACCTTCTCGTGAAAGGCTTCAAAGTTGTCACAGCAGGTTGAGAAGATGCCAAGATACCTACAGAAGTTCGCTGCCTCACATTGACATCTGACAACACTCATGATGCATAGGATTTGGAAATCTCAGCTCCAGCAGTCCTGATGAACTAAAGCCTAGGATCGAGGACTACAGCTCTAGCTGGTGGTCCATTTACACATGATTTCACAAGCCTTTTCGACCCCTTTTGTTCGCTCTCCCTTCTTCTCCGTTACTCATACGATTCCTCTTAGATGTGTTATTGGGGCCCTAGTTCTCCTGTCCAAGCTTCCCTCGAATCTTTGCCTCCCTCTTCCTGAGAATGTTTGGTGAAGTATTACCTGTCACAAAAACACTTCTTCGAAAACAATCGCATGAATAAGAATCCTTCAATTCTATTACGAGTTGCAGGCTTAATTCTAGGTTCCTACATCCTCAAGATCACGTAGCGTAGGTTTGCTCCACCCTCTTACCCACCTCCAAGAATGTTCGCTCGTCATAAGAGTTAAGGTGCTACTTTTTACACATTTAAGGACCTTGCTTGGGCTAGTAGATTTTACAACCAATTCCATCTTTTATTGATGGGCTCCAAGGCTCCGAAGTCTACTACATGTGAATCTTTAGAGGCTTGGACCGCATGTGAGCAGTATGTACTGGAATTTGACCTATTATATACCGTCTTTCAGTGTGTAAATGCTAGTTGGTCATTGGTGTTTTGTAAGGAGGCTGCGTAGATTTATGTGAGCCTTTTGCAGAGCATGCTTTAGATCCATCACTGGATTCAAGCGTTCGTTCCATACCCATCAGTCTTGAACCAGTTGCATGCGTGGGCTACCTGTACGCCGTCCTTACTAAGGACTCCTTAGCTGGAGGATAAGGAATATAACAATCTTAGTATTGGGACAGCTTTGGTTGGAGACTTTAATAGCGGATGGTTCCTCAGAGAGGAGGGAGATGGGTGTGTAACATGAACTTTAGGTGTTGCAGGCGATAAGTCAAAGTCCCCATAATCTTCCACACTTTATCATCTTCGGCCAGATATAACTAGCCTGAGCACTTGATATGTAAACCATGTTGGTATGTGTTCGGTTGTGACTATTTTCTCCATGTTTTATTTCTGTTCAGTAATGTTCATGGCAGCTAAATTTCACAAAGAAACCAATGTCGTCCGTGAAGATTTGTACATTTGCTGCTGTACAAATGTATTGCCGAGGAGAAGTGTGGCGAGCTAAAGGATGTGGCTTGTTCACCTTTCGCTTCTAACTTAAGATTCTTAATATTCCTATCTGCCCAGTTTAATATTTTCCAATAATCTCACACATATTTTCCATGATCTTTTCCTATGATGGAAAATGAGATAACTCATGTGCATAGTTCCAATCACATATCGGCCATGACTGCACATATGCTCACTGGCGTGACTCTGGTTCCTGTCAATCCGTACGCTTTTCATCATCAATACACACCTGCACTTATGACTGACGCGCTGTGTACTTGCTTTGCAGTAGCAGGAGAAGGTCCAGGTCTGGTCTGCTCGGACTTTCGAGTGAGACAGTGGAGGAGAATGTCCATCTTTACTTGCCTATCTTCTGCTACGTACTGAGGGAGAAGATATAGCTCATATTCAACACTAACATCAAGTTTCAGTCCAGGTGTAGAAATAACAATGAACTTCATCCATATCCAATCATACGAGCTAGAAATATTGCAGAAGTATTGCTTTTATTGATCAAATGAGGTTTGCAAATTAGGGTGAAGGCTGAAGCCTTAGCGCCAGTCCTAAGTTCTGAGTACGCTGAAGCTAGCTGAGAGAAAAGATCGTGTGCCAAGTAAACTATTACCCTTGGCCAATCACAAATCCTACGGAAGACTGTGAGTGACTTTTTCTGTCGCTTGCCCACAACTTACGCTCCATCAACATGGCTGCTGTAGCGGACCAGACTCAGCATCTTTTAAATTCAACCACTGCAAATGACGATGCTGATTTGCAAACGTCATTTCTGGGTTCTCGGCATGCTAGAGCAAGCTGGGAAGATAGATTACTAGCCCAAGAAATGATTTCTTTTGGCCATATAGCTATCTCTGGAGAATAGAAATGACTTTTTCTGTCGCTTCTCAAAACTCGCGTTCCACCAAGACGCCTCCTGTGTTGCAACCGGCAATGCTGGGATCTCGAGCCAAGCCAAGCGATTACTCTGAGCCATTTCACTGTCTCTGAAAAACAGTGAGTGACTTTTGATGTCGCTTGCCTACCCCGCTTTCCATCCAAGCACCTGCTACTGCGGACAAGAACAAGAGGCACCATCCTTCGAATTCACTTCTCCCGAATTCGCGTCCAATCAAGACGGCGGCTGCGGCGGACCGGAGCATGTAGCAACTTTAAAATCCAGCCACTGCACGTGACGATGCTGATTTGCAAACCCCTTTTGACCCATTTAATCCCACATGGTTTCTCGTAAATCGGTCAATTGTCTGTCTATAATGAGCCTTGCCAATTCGGCGCTCTACATCTACACTTACTGACTCTCTCGGCTCAATTACGACGAGTTCTCACACTAACTACTTCTACATCGTTCAATCTCCACCCATCTATCAAGGGCCTGGAGCCTGTCTCTATTGGATATCGAGAGGGCTATCCTGGCAGATGACCACTCAGCTCTCCCACTATCCCCATATGTACGTATGTACATTACACCCCTCCCTCTTCGCGCCAACATTTCAAAACTCGCCTTCAGCGGTATGTCGAGCTGTTGGTGCTTCCACAAATCACAAATACTCACTTCCGTTCGTCCCACTCTCGCTCCCATTACGCTGAAACACATTGACAGGCAGGCCGTTGGCTATGAAAAGGACAACCATGAGGCTGTAATTGGGCACATCCTTCCGCTCGAGCTGGAACTTGAAGAACATAAGCAGAATGACAGTGGTTAACTTCATCTGCAGATATGATGAATCCTTCCCCAAGCACATCCTGGGACCAGCCTGCAATTCATCACGACACAGACACAGCCACCCTCAGCACCGTAACGTAGACATGCCAACAGCCCACTTAATTGGCGGCCTGGCCGAGCCATGCCGGGAATGCAGTCGATTTAAGGCAGGTACATTACCCTTCGCTATCCAACAGCTGTAAAGTCAAATAACCAGAGGAATTGAAGGAGATGACAAAGCAGACAACAATCACACAACTCAGGGAATCTTTGAGGGAACAGAGCTAACAGAGGGGGACCAGTGCACTTCACCTGAAATGCAGTCAGCTTAAATGGAGACTGGGGCTGGTAGACTCCACTCCTCAGCCACCTTTCAGGCTTGAACTCCGCAACATCAGCGCCCCACAAATATTTGAGCCTTCCCATGGAATAGGAGGAGTAGCTAACGAACTCTCCCTTTTTAATTGGGGTTCCGTCTGGGAAGGTATCGTTGGCTGCGGCCACTTTGGTCTCCTGGTAGAAAAGTCATAAATACAGGGGTGAGGCACAGTCCAATCAGCACTGCACTCTGGACATTGAACATAAATGAGATTGGTTGCTTTGCGCACGAGGGCTGCTATGACGAGGCAAACTTAAGGAGGAAGAAGCAAAAAGCGACAGAGCTTCCCAGAATCTCTAGAAGAATCACGAATGCGTGCAACTCACCAGAGGCACTGCAGGGTAGAGGCGCAGAGCTTCGGTGATGGCTGCGTGTAGATAGTGCATCTTACTGAGACTCTGGTATGTCAGCAACTGAGCGAATTCGAGAACTCTATCGCCGAAATCAGCTGCATCCCTGGAGTTGCTCAGGTCCAGGTGCGCCTGAGGATCAACCTCGAGCACCGTCGACACTTCCTCCAATATTTTCTCAACCACTTGGGGATTCCTGCAAAGTTCGAAGAAGAACCACGACAGAGTGATAGCTGTGGTGTCCCTACCCGCGATGATGAAATTGATGACAACATCGCGCAATCGCTCATCGGTGTAGGTTTGGTCCCCATCGGTGATCGACATGAAGCGGGACAAAATATCCACTCCGGCATGCTGATGCTGCAGACCATCGCACCCACAAGACAACACGAGACTTAGCGAGGAATTTTACCACCAATTTCAAGGGAGCTCTGAGACAGAATTTACAGTAACATTTTGAAACTCTCCCTCTATTTCAGAGTCAGGACGGAGGCCTGGGGACTTCGAGCTGCACACATCGCAGTGCCCCAGCTCACGGTTCCAGTCAGATGCTGGAATCTGACAAAAGGGAACGAGTTCTAATAAAACCGTGGTAGGTGGGTATGATTGCTCATTTAAGGACGGATTACCTTGTCCTGATCGAGGGTGGATGCCGCGCTCATTTCAGCTCGGCGGGTTTCGATCACTTTGTAGATGAAAGTGTCAACGACGTTGATACATTTCTTCAGCTTGGCCTCACCTCCGATGGTCAGAGTGCGCTTCAATTTCCAGAACGGGTCGATGTATCTCCTGACGATCAGTCTGTTCGCTTCATCGAAGGCGTTAGCAAACGGGATGGCCGGCAGCGAGGGGGAAAGGCTGCCAATGTCCACTCCGAATCCGACCTTACAGATGGAGTCCAGCGTTAAACGCATGAACAAATCCTGGTCACACCAACAGAGCAATGAATCAATTATCGAGGGTCAGTTTGAGAATTATGGAATATGTTATCAACTGATGGGGACAAAGCTTCAGCTCGAATTTCTCAAACTGCGTTCATTACCTGAAGATCAACTCTTTGTCCGTTCCTGGCGGCGATGGCCAGCACTTGCACAAGCTTCAAAGCCTCAGTGCGGAATGCATGGATGCTAAAGTCACGAAGCTTGGACGACGCGAACTCCAGAGTAGCCACTTTGCGCTGGTGCCTCCACATGTCGCCATCGACGTTGAAAATTCCATGTCCGAGCATGTCCCCAAACCTCTCTCTAATCAAGTCTCCCTGTCAAATTGGACGAACACATCTCAATCTATCAGTCATCAAATCATCTCGAGCAATTCCAGATCACATACTCACTCCCGCTGCACAAATCGACCTCGAGCTCTACTCGCTACGTAATTACTTACATGCTACCATGATCGTGGGTCCCACCCTCGAGCGCAGTCGGGTGCGCTTCCATCGCCCCCACTGGCGCAACTTCTACTACTACACTACTCTGGACTACGAGCGAGGGAGGGAGGCGGCGCACCCTCGTCGCATGTCCAGCTGGTTCTCGCACTCGTCGATCCACCTACGACTGTACGATAAACCTCCGAAATAATTGGCACCAAACAGACTGACGGCTTCGCCAATGAATGCAAGTTACAAGCGTTTACACACGCACACAAGGACTGAACTGGACTGAGCTACTGACCTCGGCTAGGCCGAACTGAACTGGACGGGACGATTGAATACAGGACTTGGGAGTTGAGAGAGCGAGCACACCTTGGGATAGTTGCTGAAATTGTTTTTGAGAATGTGCTCGACGTTGCGAGGGTCCACTGTGAAAGTATTGTTGATACTAATCATTGGCACGGAGAACGTAAGACAGCCTTTCTTGTGGTAGTCGTGCAGCCAGTCGTGTATCCGATCGAAATTTCGTGCTTGTTCGATTATGCATCCAATAAACAACCACTTTTTCGGACCCTTCTGGTTTCGCTGCGAGTGACGGTGCACCCACATGATCCATGTGAGGAGGATCAGCGTGGCTGCGATAGCCGCTGGCATTCCTGGCATTCGTTTCAGTGGGTATTCGCGCGTGTAGTCTTCCATGTACTTGGCAACTTCCAGTCTGACGACCCCCATCTTGCTCGATGAAGCACAGAGATCAGGAACAGTAGCCCCGGCGCATGCACAGCTCTATCCTCTACGGATCACAGCCCGAGTGCTCGTCCAGGTCTTCTTCGTGCTCGTCTGGCTCTTCCTTCGGATCTTGTTTCGCTTCCCTTTCTCACTCCTTCACTGCTCGCTAGCTGCCAGGTCCTGTGTCTGAGACCGCATTTGAAATCTAAGCTTGAGTATCAGGACGATTTATACCACAGGGGAGGTGTCCTCCCTTCCCTGGTCGCTCCTCGGCTGGCTCGCTTCCCTCGCTCTCTTGCTTTCTGCACGGCCTTGGCTGGCTTGCTTGCTTTGTGTAGCGCAAATGCACAAGTCTAGACTGCACGGACAAAGTATTAAATGGCAAAGAGTTTGACGTTTTCGCAGGTCCCGAGGGGAGTATTAATTAAGACCGGCAGTCTGCTACGATCGAGCGCGGATCTCTTCTCCGTCCTTTGTGACTTGTGCAGCCCCTGCTCTCTCTCTCTCGTTCGACCTCTCTCTCTCTGCTGTCGCTCTTCACTTTCAATCCCCGCTTTTTATCTATCTATGTCACTGGTGTATATCTGTGTGTAACTTGATCGAGTTCACTATCAAAGAGGGCACCGTCAATGGCAAAACACGCACAGGCAGGGCAAGGCAAAGAGCCCAGCTTGCAGCAGCTAGCTGCTAGCTAGCTGTACGAGCTTCCTTGCTCCCTTCTTCTTCTCTCCACCTACTTGCAACCAATGCTTGCTCACTTCTCTCCCCACTCTTCACTGCTGTACTACTGCAGTAGGAATCCCAACGCTAAACGCCAGATTTGTGTGCTCAGTGCTCTCGCTCGTATGGTGTGTGCACTCGGTTTCCTGCAGACCCAAAGATGAAAGCTCTAAATGTGACTGTACTGTGTGGACCCTTGGAATTTCTACTCAATATCCCTGCGTTCCTCGTCTTCCAGCCTCGATCATCACTTCAACTTACAAAGAGCTAGAACGGGCTTAGACCAACTAATCGTATTGTTTTAATCTCGGTAAGGATTATGAGGCTAAAACGAGCTTAGACCAACTAATCACATTGCCTTATGTTCAGTGATGATTATTAGGCTAGAACGGGCTTAGACCAACTAATCACATTGCCTTATGTTCAGTGACGATTATGAGGCTAGAACAGGCTTAGACCAACTAATCACATTGTCTTCTGTACAGTCACGATTATGAGGCTAAAACGAGCTTAGACCAACTAATCACATTGCCTTATGTTTAGTGACGATTATAAGGCTAGAACGGAATTAGGCCAACTAATCACATTGTCTTATGTTCGGTAACGATTATGAAGTTCGTTAGTGAAATAAACGGCGATTTTACTTTCTTTGGTTCCGTTGATTGCCTGCTCAACTCTTGAGAAGCTACTCATTTGTAGAAGATTATCACGGGTCTATCTACAGCACCCCGTCCTGAATCCAATGCGATAACTTGGCTGATGATATATTTCTGGCACCAAATGTGAACAACCAAACTACATCCATGCTTCTAGTAAGGATTCAAGCGTCATTCCAACATTCTGATTTTGGTTATACCCTTGACATCTGTTGGCCAATTTTTTACCGGAATCCAACCTCGCCCGCCAAGACTTCAACGTAAGAATAATACCTATCCCCGAATAAAAGAAAGACATGTTTGCCAATGTGTCGGAATGCCTTAAACCTGCCCCTTATGCAATAAAAAAGAACTTAGTTAAATATCACGATATCAGGCCCCTGTTGGTTCTAGTGAATTTCTCAAGGCTTTGGAGGTGCTTGTGGGCGTCAGTCAAGTTAACCATAACTACTTCAACAATCCTGATAAAAGTTCTTATATACAATCTTCTTCCCCAATCGTAGAAGTTGTAGGTGATATTTGAAAAATAAAAGTTGACATGAAATCAGCCTTCAGTTGGAAGCTGATTTCATAAGAAAAATCTAGAACCTTCAAAAAACAGTTTATCTGATACAAGAATGTTGTATCGTGATAGTCGTTGGAATGGACGTTTTTTCGAAAACACTGCTAATCCGTGTAAAGGCCTCAAACTGCTTCTATTTGGCAGATCACCATTGGCCAACGATAGGGTCGTTGCAGGTTACCACGTATCGTGGGTCGGACCAGGCCGTTTTTATACGCACTGGCCGCTTTTCTACGGTAGGCACGTAAGGCTCTACGTAAGGCTTTTCCAATGTACAGGCTCTTTGAATCCCTCCATCAATTCTAATGTTCGTGTAAGACAAAGGTAATCATTTTGTCGAACTCGCACAGGCGGTAATCTCGGCTGCAGTAACTCCAGTTCATCCATCACCATCGTTCCGCTCATCGCCTCGCCTCACCTCATCAAACCATGTACTTCACCGAACTCACCACTCTCTTGTGCAGGACATCGTTACACGAAGGCACGCTCCCAGCACACTTACTTGGCCACCGTCGACGGTATTTTCAATATCCCTCTCCCGCCACCGGCACCAGTTCCATTTATTTCACTGGTGGCAGGCTCTCGCGATTCTTCGTTTTCCTTTTTTGATAAAGGCCTCGTGGGATTTACTCTGTGATTCTTGAGTATGCCATCCGCATGTTACTCCTTTATGTGTTATTTGGTGGACTGAGATTGCTTCGCCAACATTGAAGATATCCGCGGATAGCCTTCAAATTTATATAGTACAGTCGACAAGTGGTCGTCCGTATTGGCACGGGACAGGCACCCGTAGCATGGACAGAAAGCTCAGCTCTACGTTGTTTTGTTGCTCGATGGATCCTCGTCAGCAGGCAAAGTGAAGAAATGGACCATGTAAAATGGGTCAACAGAGACTTGACTTGAGACTGACTGTCACGGACTGACTGCAACGACCGAGCGGTCCGAAATAACCGGTGGTGACCGTCTCGGACACCCAGCGATGACTGTTTATTCCAGTTACCAGGGAGAGAGGGAGGTTTTCACTTGCAAGGTACAACCATGGTACTGTACTGAGCTTACACCTGTCCCAAGCCCAAGAAGAGTTCATTACCACGTGTCAATCTTGAGTCCAATCTGGGTCACTCCCTTATATATAAGCATACAACTCCGCTCTTACGATGACCCGCTGTAGTAAGTCACCCTTCCTTCCGTACTCTACTCCTTTGAGTTCGAGTCCTTCAGGATGATGTGGGTTTATGTATATTTATGGTATATTGTACGTGTATGAGTTGTTGAAGATGCTTCCATATATTGTATGTAGTCATGGAGACTAGGCTCAGAAATATCTACTGGGAAACTTTCCCTCTTAAACCGTAAAATGCCTTTCTTCGTTCCTGACATCGAGGAACATGAGAAGAAAAATCATGAGAAAAATCAAGCTTCCACTCGAGTACCACGTAAGTCACATAGGAAGTGAACCTTATTCTCTTCTTTTCTTTCTTTGATGTAATATAGCCCTGCATTCAACTCTAATATAGTGGAAGCTTTTGAGTAAGCTTTGCCATTCTCAATATTAACTACATTTTGGCAAGTATACATACTCATGTATATAAGTGAACCATGCACGACGAATTCAATTCACACTCTATTCTACAACAATGAGCCTTTAATATGTATAATTACAATCTTTACACTTTGTTTTATCCATGTACGGTCCATGGTGTGTTCTTTTCATCCTATTACTTGACCCTTCTTTTCAATTTTTTGTCTTCCAAAAGTAGGATTGAAACAAAGAAAAAGTACCTTAAGTCATCCTTGCCAATCACTCTACTTTGATGTTTGTTAGAGCACTGGATCCTCTGATCCATCAACGTCCCGTATAATCGTTGGACCCACTGCTTTTAGCTATAGGATGGGAGAGTCTTGGTGGTGCTCAAACAACAGTTCAAAAGGTTCAAAAGTAATTGGCAAGATTTCCTTTGGCTACTGCTACTGCAGATGATGAAACGTTGAACTTGTAACAGGGTCGAAAATCAGAGTGGGGCATCCATTTGCATCTCAAGAGTCGGTCTACGTCAGTTTATGGAGTATGAACACAAATATAGGATGAGATGAGTTGAGATACTACAACGGAGCAGTCAGAATGTCAAGCAACTGCTGGTTTTGGTTTGTCCTCTCCGTTTGCTCTCAAAGGAGAGATGGGCAGAAGCAATTGGATCGAGGACTACATTAGATCGAAAGTTCATACTTACATGGAGAGAAGTGGATTCCAACAAAAAGAACTGACTGGGAACCATCGTTCCTTGGTTTGTTTACTTTCTCATACAATCGTCAGAATGGTATCTAAGATTATACTTTCGCTACCTCGCACCCTTGCAAGTTGACTAGGAACGAAAGAAACTACTATCCTCGCATGCATAAGATAAACTTCGTTGCTGGAAAATGGGCATGCGTACACCCATCCGGATTTACTGTGGGATTAGGATTCACTGTTCTTTTGCTGCCTCGCTGCCTATCACCCGCCAGGAAACACTCACTCGGAATGAACTGCAACGATTCAAGTGACACGAAAGAATCAATTGCTTGGAGTTGTGCAGGTTCCGCGATAAATGGTCTAAGAAGATCTCCATGCCTCCATCATTTGGATTTCATCCTAGATCGAAAGAACTTCTCCTTTTGTCCAGGACATCATCGAACTATTGAAAGGGACAGGAGGACTTCAGTCCATGCGGTAGAACATGCAGTTGCCGTAGAATGGAATTCATGATCCTTCGATTCTCAATGCTGAAGTTTGAAGCTCACTATGATGGTGAAATTTTGCAAAAGAAGAAGGATATAGGAGAAAAAGTGTTTATTCTTGATAAAGTGTAAAAGTTTTGGAGGGTAGAAAAAAACCGTCGGGCACAATTTCCAAAAAAGAACACGTTTTTTTGTTCACCACTCACGAATTTTTCAAGTTCACTAACATTCTCAAAGACAAGAAGAAAAACGTATCTTGGTAAAGTGCAGATGTTGTTCGACTTTTTGCAACAACAAACATTCCACAATTTGTCCACAAATGTTTGTACATCTGAGATTGTGCAATCTTGCCCTTCTCCTTTGCGTGTGAGTTCTCCCTTGACCATTTCCTGCCTCTTCTCAATGCCTTGTAATTGATGACGTGAGCTCGCTCCTATGTTGAAAGACTCCGAACTTAATTCTTGCTAGAACTTTACATACAGTACATATTTTCAAGTAGTATTAAGACCAGTAGACTTGCATACCATATATAGGATCTCGGACCTTCTCACTTGTCTTAGCGATATGTTTGATTTGACCACTTTTAGTCCACTCAGTTCCTTGCAAGAACTCACCTTTCTACATCCAAAGACTATTTTTTCACTTCCATTTTGATGTTTATACGATATTTGATACAATCATCATGTTGGCTTATTGTGACATCAATGAACAATTTAGTGTGCGACGAGATTTATTTCAATATAATAATAATTTTAAAAATATGTGTGTATATTTATTCTTTTATTCATTTTGAGTGTAAGTCAATCGATTTAGGTTTGATCACCTACATTGTGTTTGTCTTGTAGATTAAACCAGCTAATGCTCTTTCTAGAATAATGATAGGCATTTCTGGTACCTTTATTAAAAAATATTAACCTTTATCCACATACACTTCTTAGTGCTCTTAACAAACTTACACTCTAAACAACTCCTATCATGTGTTGTAAACATATTCCGCGTACTATAGTTGTATAGTCTATTCTCATTGGCTGATTAGCAATTTTGATCTCATGAGACTATATTATATTTAGCCAATTGCCAGCTTGTTCATAAGGATTCAAAGAATCTATGCATAAATAAGAGTTGACACTCAAGTTACTGAAATTGGAAGATTTTATAAAGAACCAGGTCTTCAAGTAGATGAGAATAAGCCATCAAAGTCTCACGCGATCAACGTCAAGATCAATCA